TACTTCTGCTTTATACAAAAAAAATTTTTCAAAAGCTTCATCTTTATTCCTCAATAAATATACTCTAATATATCTTGAAAAATCATCAATAAAAGTGATATAATATCTCTTGCCTCCTCTAATTTCAACTTGTTTTAACTCCACTAAATCAATGTGAACTAAAGATAACAATTTAGTTTCATTGTGAGCAGAAAAATGTGGGTTTTTAGTCAATTTAGTTTCTGCACAACCTTCATATTTGTTAAATTATTTATTTTAATTTCATGAATTAGCCCTAGATTTTGTAGTCTCTTTATATATGATTTATGAGCTTGTCCTAACCTAGCATGTCACAGATCAAAAGAATCAATCAAGTAAGCAAAAGAAGACGCATTCTCACTAATTTCAGCAATACTTAAAACAAATAGACCCTAATTACAATATCCCTTCCTAATGAGAACATTATTCTTAGTCATGACAACCTTGCCAAACTCAAAAGACACTCTAACCTTAGCTTTCTCAAGTAGTGCCACAAAGACTAAGTTTGCCTTGACATCAAGGACATACGACACCTCATTCAATGCCAGGGTTTTTGTTGATGTGAGTTTGAGCACCACATTTCCTTTTGCCTAAACCTTGGCAGTTTAAGAGTTAGCAAGATAAATATGATCTTTCCTTCTTCAAAGAAGGTAAACATCTCTCTGTTTGCACAATTGTGCTTGGTGGGCCCTAAATCCACTACCCATTTCTTCACATTAGACACAATGAGGGCTCGAGAAACCACTACAACTATGACTTCATCATCATTGCCATCATTTCCTTCAACCAACTTCACCTTTGGCTTAGGAGGATTATCACCTTTTTGAGTAGCCCTCTTCCTGCACGGTGCTACTTGGTGTCTTGACATTCCATAAATAAAACAATTGTCTTTTTTTTTTTTTAAGTTGGGGTTAGAATCCTTAGATTTTTTTAATCAAATTTTTTATAATTATTATTTTTGTTTTTGGGATCGTAACTCTTGGAGCATGGTTTTGCTTCCATCAAGTTTGCTTTGGTAGCTATTTCTTTTCTTTTTGCAGCTTGTACTGCCTTTCTGTTGGTGTCTTTGATGATTATGTCGGTAATAAGATTTGATAGGATAACTGCTTTTATTTGTGCTTTAATTGTTGTTGTAGTTACTCTATGTCTTTAGCAACTTACTCAATTATTATACTAGCTATGAACACATCTGGCAAGTTAATCTTCTTAGCATGAAGCTCCTCCAGCAATTTTTGATACTTGTTGATTTGAAGCTTGATATCTTTCTTTTTGGCTATCTCCCATCTATAGAAATTCCCCACCATGAACTTTTGCTTCCCAGCATCCTCAGCAGTATACTTGAGGATAAGTAATTCCCATATCTTATGTACTTCCTTGTAGACATAGTAGACATCAAACATATTGTTAAATAAAGAGGTAATAAGAGTGTGTCTGCAAACCTTATTAGCATATGTTCAAATTTCTTTCTGGGCATGATGAGACTGAGTGATTCTAGCAACTACTTCATGCATGTCAAGGATAGAATAAACCTGCTCCTGTCAACGCCTAAAGTTCCTTCCATCAAATGTTTCTATTTTTGAAGTGTTAGGGAACGGCCTAGGAATAGGAACTATCGTTGGGACAATAATGACTAGAACAACATCATTGTCATGTTCACCATTAGTATTACGAGATTGTTCCATGATAGCTGCTAGCTCTTAAGATTGTTAGCTGTAGCACCTATAAAGAAACAATTAATCTGAGTCATATCCTACGAACACTATCCTTAAAAGTTATTCTGCAACTACCAGTAGATGAGAATGCGGCACTTCCCAAGATTGAACGGATTTTTTCTGCAAAACAAGGTGAGTAAATTAGTAGAAGATAATAGTAAACTCAATAGGTAGAAGAACACATAAAAGAGGAAGAGAGAGGAGATCAAAAACTCTAAAGCCATATGTTCTAAACCTTAGACGGAAGCACCCTTTTTAAATAGGAAATCCATTCGATACTTTAAAATTATTATTTAATTATTTCATGCATTGAAAATGCTTGAATGGACTGTACAAGATTTCAAATTGTTTCAACCCATTAAAAGGCTTGATTCAATCCGTTTGCCGCTTTAAAACTTTTTATTGCGTAATTTATAAACCCAGTGTGTGATATCGAAAATCTTTAACGCATTAAAATGATAAAAACCCATTAAAAATTTTCAAACACTCCAACTTTAAGGCATTGTAAAATCCGTCCATTGCCTTAAATTTTTCAACATTCGGTTTCTACTTTTAACGCTAATAACACGAGGGTTATTCTGATAAAGTTTTCCTAACTAAAATATTATTTATATTTTCACGAGATACTTTAATAAAAAGTGCTCAGTCTATGCTTACTTTTCACATTCTCGGTTAATATGAAACTCTTTATTTGACACATCCACATAAATATCTTAAAATCATCTTGACGGGAAGGATTTTAGATAGAATTTTTCGTTTAGATTTTAGTAACCAAACAAAAAGAATAAAATTGGTCTTTCAATAGTTAATTTTCAAAACGTGATCTATATTTAAAAAAGGAAAATTTAAAGTTTACAAATAATAAAGTCAAAAGGAGCTAGCAAGATGCTCTCTTTTTTTTGGTGGTAAGGAAGATGCTCATTGTTGATTAAAAAAAATTATGAAATTTCACTCTATTCCAAGGACCAAAATTTTATGGGTGAAAAGATAAAAACATCCTTAGTTTATTTTGGGATTGTGACTTGTAAATTTCCTTATATTTCTTACAAGTCGCTGAATTGGAGTTGTAAATCATTAAATTTAAATTCTTCATTCACTCATAAAATTTATAAGGATTAACAATTATAATTTGACAATTTACAACTCAAATTTGACCATTTATAATAATTTTTTAAAAAAAATAATATAAGGATATTTTTGTCTTCCTACCCATTTTTCAGAGTAATACAATTTCAGAACCTGCTAGGGCTGGAGTGATATTAATTGATTTTAAAGGAAATCCTGGAAAAAAATTCAAAGCATGCAATTGAAGATTCAGTGGGTTGTGTGTGTGTGTGTGTGTATCCTGTTTGTCTTGTGATGGGACAAAGATTCTAGTCTACATATCTAATAATTATTGTTCCCCACCACGTATAGGCATAGCCCAATTAAAAGTAGCAATCAAAGGCATTATCAAAGATTTTGAGACAGATTCGAGATTTGTTTTTGTAATTAAGTACATGTATATCTTTTTTATTGGAGATTTATTTGAAATATTAAATGTGAATATACCGAGACTCGGTTTATTTTATCATGTTATAGAAAACTAGCTTCTTTTTTTTATTATTATTATTAAACCTAATTTCTACCGTTAAAACACATATTCAAATTTTTTGTCCAGAAGTTAAATGCAATTTGATAGCATAGTTTCATCTGTGGGCAGCTTGAAAATATGAGACACACGGATGGAGGAAAATCCAAAGCCTTAATGGCCTAATGGGAGACTCTGGGATTTCCTGACCCTTCATTTCAAAGCATTTGCCGCCCTCTTCCTTGCCACTTGACATTGCACAACAAGACAAATTATAATTTACTTGAGATGCGTCATGGACATTAAACATTGTGCCGACCATTGGACCAGACAACAATAACTCAAACCATGTACTCATTTTTTTCTTAATCACAACTCACTTAACTCTTCACATTGAACTACAATATCCTAATAGATGCATTCATGTGGTTCAATAACTAATTAACGGTTATAATAGTCATGATTTAACATAAATTGTAGAAATTCATAATATCTTATGCTTGGTAATGTATTATATGATGATATTGGATAGGATAATACTAAACTTTCTGACAAAAATATCATTTGTTTAAAATTTAAGTGAATTTAATTAAAAATTTTATACTGTATTCACTTTTTAGAGAAATTTTTTATTTATTTAATATATTACGGTAATAGTAACAGTTAGTGATAGTGGTGAGGATGATTAGTGACAATGATAACAGGTGACAACGACTAGTGATGATCGTGCTAATGACCAATTACAATGGTAATTACCGATGGTGGTGATAAAGATGACTAATGATAGTAGTGGTAGTGACGATAAAGGTCGTCAGCAGCGCATGTTGTAATGACAATAAAAGGCAACGATAATAGTGACTCATGATAGCGATGATAGCCAATAACACTAATGCATGATGATGGTAATTGTAATGCCAATTACTAACAACAGTTACAGTGATGATCATTATCATAGAAATAATGGCCAAAAACAATAGCAGCACTACAAATCGCTAATAACAGTTGGTGGTAGTGACAGTAACAATAACCGCTCCACATTTGTGATAGTTGTGATGCATAACAAGATGCTTAATTCAGGCAATAAAATGAGAACATCACACAACGAAATTTCAGTAGGTTTTATGTGAGTTTCATAAGCTATATTGAATTAATTACCCATCATTCCATCATATAAGAGTAACAAGATATATATATATATATAAAATACACACACCTAAATGCATTATGTACATGTGATATATGTCATGCCAAATGGAGCCTTCATGTATGATATGATATTTTAGAATTTATGTGCATATATATATATATATAGTTTGAATCTAATCAACTGATAATTAAATATAAATAGGGCCAAGTTAGTTAAGTATCTTTGCCTTGCCAGTTGCCGAGAAAAAAGCAAAGATGGTACAGGCACTTGGGGCTGGCCATTACACTTTACACATCTTTGGGCTGTCCCTGTCAGAATTTAACCAAGTAGACCTTCCACGCATTCCCCCTCAGCCCTCTTTGCTTCATCCAGCGGGCCCCACCCCCAAACTTTTCGTTGATATGTTTCGTGGGCCCTTCTCCTCTGACATGTCACGTGACCCCACGTACACACGTGTCAAGCCCTCCTTACCTCCTCGAGCTCCTCCTCACGCCTCCCTATAAAAACAACAAAATGGTCCTGATTCGATCGCCCCATCGAAACCATTTGTCTCTCCCAGAGTCACAGGCATGAGCTTCTTAGATTCTTCTTATCCGCCGCCTCTCTGCCACCTCGGCATCGACGAAGACGACGCCGGTAACCACCGGGAGCATCATCAGGAGCATCCTGAAACAGCTACGACGTCAGATCCGGTCCCAGTTCCGGTGATCGATCTTCAATGCCTGAACGACGACGAGGTGTTGAGGAGGCTAGACGAGGCTTGTAGGGAGTGGGGAATATTCCGGGTGGTAAACCACGGAGTTCCGGCGGCTCTAATGGCGGAGCTTGAAGACCTGACGAAACGACTGTTCTGGATGTCGTTTGAGAGCAAAAAGGCGTCGTGCGAAGGAAGTCCTGTGAGTTATTTTTGGGGGACGCCTGCTCTGACTCCATCGGGCACTGCCCTATCGGGAGGACATCGAAAGATCAATTTGGTTGAAGGCTTCAATCTTCCTTTAAGTCAACTCTCAGAATTTCATCCGCGGCTTCCTCTGCTTCAATCTTTCAGGTAACTACCGCGTCACAATTCTACGTATAATCCTTCGTAATAAATATAATAACTATTTTGTTTAGACTATAAACATTGTCTTAAATTAAATTCGGAGATATTTAACAAAAATGAAGCAGGTCATATTGGAAATGATGGTACTTTGTTTTTAGCATTTGAATTGAATCGTGGGCAAAGATCTTAAAAAGATTACACTTCCTCCGTCCATTTGTGTAAGAAATAGCTGACTGACTAAAAAGGTGGAAAAGGTATTTGGATAAAACCAAACTAAAAGAATAGATTTTTAGAAGGATAGATTTTGTGAATAATAGATTTTATAAAAAAGTTATTCTAATAAAGTAAAAATGTTTAGATAGTTATTATCAGAAACACCTTTTATATATGTAAATTACTAAAAAAAATATAAGTTAATATGATAATTACATAAAATATGGATCTTATAATATATTTTAATTTGAAGGAATAAAATTGTTAATGATATATTTTTTACCAACATAATTAATAATACATAAGATAATGTAATTAATAATTAATTAATATGTGTATATATATTTATAAGAATAAGATTAAATATGTTTATAAGAAAATAATTGAGGGGTATTAAAGTCATATTATTGTTAAGATCTATTCTGATAGGCACAATCATACTTTTCAATTTGAGCTAGAAGTAGAATGAATTCAATTCTTCTGAAATCATGATTTTGGACTCCAAAACCATGATTTTGGCCCAAATCATGGTTTGGATTATTTCTTCCTGTTTGGCTCACTCTTTTTCGAAATCATGATTTGGGATGATATCCAAACACCCCCTAAGTCATGTAAATTAAAAAAATCAATCAAAATTAATTAAATATAATAAATATGTAAAACTTGTAAGTGTTTTCTAAAGAAATGCTTTTATTTATGTTAGGATCCTAATTCATAGGAATTGTGTAGTTCAGATCGATCATGTTCATAGGAAAGGAAACTGTATTGTGGATTTTCTAGCTAAATTGTCTCATACTATAATTAATAGCTTTTGTATCATTGATCAACCTCAGCCTCTAGACACAGAGGTAGATAGTGATAAAAGGGTTTAGTTGTAATCTTTTGCTTTGAGTAATGGTTTTATTTTTAAAAAAAAATGCTTTTGTTTATGAGAAAGGGAGTATAGGGAGAGAATTAAAAAATTATTTCAAAAAATAAGATAATAAATATATTAATTTATAAAATAAAGAATCAATAGGGCCTAGGAAACTAATTAAGAAAATTTGAGATATCTTAACATAAGATAGAGATAATAGTTATTTCTTATCAAAAGAGATGGGAAGTGAGTGTTTATTGCCGTCCAAAATTTAGAATTCACTAGTTGATAAACATGATTTAAAATATAAGATTTTGATTATTATATTTTCTGTATAATATTTTTTCATAATATTTTATTAATTTCATATAATTTTTCTTATGCTTAATAGTTAATTAAAAGGGGTGACTTAGAGAAGGTGATACATGATTTTTATATGATAAAAATAAGTAATCAATATAATCTTTTTTTTAATTATATATAAGTTATATATTTAACATATAATGGAGCATTATAAGGAAAGAAAGAGGGAGAGAAAACGGAAGATGCCAAATTTCAAAAGAATGGCAGGGGCGTAGTAAAAGATTTGTGCAAGTGATTGTTTATGCAACGTCCTTGTCCATTTCTGTTGGCACAAAATAATGTCCTTATCTTTTTGTTTTTTGGTTGGCCAACTTTGTGTTTGTCTGCATAATCTTTGAACTTTTAATTTAAATTTATACCAAACATGATATTAGTCATTGAATTTCAAACTATGAGTTTAGTCGAGGTAAATCGATTCAAATTTTTATTAAATTATAAAGATTTTAAACAGAAAAAAATTTGAGAGATTCAAACCTGTGGTTTGAAACTTGAAGGACTAAAATTAAAATGATGACAAATTTGAAGAATCAAAAATTATATTAACCCCATATATACTTGACAAAAAATATTTATGAATAATATGTTTTTAAATTTTGTATATTACACAAGTCTATTCTCCAAAACAATATACATAGAATATTAATAATTAAAATAAAAAAAAAATCTACTTGTGAACTATTTTATAATTGAGTATCTGCTCCATGATGATTATTTGTGTATAAAAGTGTTCATGAAAAATTTAAAAACAATAAAAATATCAGGATTCTTAGTTTAAGTAAACATATGTTACTTTTAGAACATAAACGGCCATTTATCTGTCTTTCCTCAAAGTTTGCCCTTTCCTCAGCCTTCTTTAGAGTTGATAAAAATGCAAACGAAAAAAAAAATTCTTCCTTTCTTTTCTTCAAATATCTATAATTACAATCTCAGAAAAAAAATTGTATTTTTCGTCACCCTCCTACTCTTCATCTACCTCCACAAAAATTATTTTATAGAGGACTGATTTTTATAGAAATTAATGTCCCAAAAAAATTTACAAAAATTAATGGTCCGCAATAAAACACAATATGATAACATTATTCACAAGCATTCTGACTCATAACCTTATGAAACCGTGTGAATTATCTCATATATATATAAATATGTATAATAGATATATAGTATAAAAAGTAGGGAGAATACCATTAAAAAAATTTAAAATTATTAAATCCCAAATCAGATTTAGTAATAACATTTTAATAAGTTTTGATAAAACTAAATCTGCAAATAAAAACATATTTTTGTTAAAATTTTTTATTTAAAATTTAATAATTTAAATTTTTTTTGTGAGATTTTACCCAAAAAGTAAACAAAATATTTTTATTTGATATTGTAGATAAATAAAATACTAGAAATAATAATAATAATAAACAGTAAATAGTAGTTTATCTCCCTATATATTATTATCGGCTTCCTTTAAAATATAAGTGAGTGTTTTCTCAAATGTAAAAGATTAAAAGAAATTCAACGCATCAAAAGCCAAAAATGTGTAAAAAAAAAATCCACCACAATTTTCACACATGACTTTATGAGATTTTTTTGGCCGATATCTTTTGTTTGGGGGACAATGGCCATTATAATAGGACTTTATGGGATACGGACGTTTACTTTGGGAATTGGTGCACAGTAATAATGATAATAATACTTATATTAGATTTGACCATATCATGGCCACGTTCAGATATTTTCATAATGAATAGAAACAAATTGCTGTAACAAAGAGATAATCTCTCCTGATTAATTTGCTACGTGAACCAAACACGGAACGAAAGAAAAACTAGCGGATTAGATGATTAAATATTCTCAATATAGTCACCAAGAAACATTCAATACATGAAATTTCTTCTTGGTTTTTGTATGTCCTAAAAGTTTTATTTTGCAATATTTCTGTTGGAAACTGTTATCGATTATTAGGTTTAATCATTGAAGACATCAGTCAAACTACGTAATTTAACAGTTAAATTTAATGACAGATAATAGTCAGGATATTTTTGTCATGAAAATAAATTTTTATAGCGTAAAAGAGCTAAAAAAAACTTTCAGATACTAGGTGGTAATACTTTCAAGATATTTAAACACATTATCCCAAACTAAACCATCATGTTGGAAACGTTTTAATTTAAGCATGATTGTGTGTGTTTTGAGCATGTCAAAGACACAAATACTTCTATTTCTATACTATTTACGTCTCATTTTATTATATATAATTGTGTATTTATGTGAGTGCTGAGTTAATAATTTTGGAAATATTCAGGCCAAAAAAAAATAATTTTGGAAATATCGTATTCATTTATCAATTTTCCCAAAAAAAAAACTGAAACTCATCATGTCTGGTAGATTATTGTGTATATCCGTACTAATTTGGTCATATTTATATTTTGTAGGATTATCTTTAATATAAATCACCTAATTAAATTTATTATATGAATGTATAATTTTATTTTTAATTTATTATTTTTTAAATATTATTTTCATAAAAAGTAAGGTATATATTAAATATGAGAAAATTTAAAAATTCTTATTTTAAAATAAAGTTAATAAATTTTATAATTTTTCTTAATAATACGTGAGTTGAAAATAACCACACATTATTATAGGAATATTATGCAATCTTTAGCTTCTTTCTTATCATTCTCCCTCCTGAAAATATTTAACATTTAACTAATTTTAATTAATTACTACTAAAAAATATTTCCTCTAATTCTATTTATAAGCTTTAAAGTTAGGGATGAATGTAGTCTATTTTATAAGTTTTAATTTGAAATTTTTCTAAATATTTAATACATTTTTTTAAATTTTATCCTTAATTATTTATTCTCTCTCATTTGTTTCACTCTCTTATCACATTTTCACATACATTCTTTTTCATCTTTTTTCTCATTTATTATACGGATATATTTAAAAATAAAATTATATTTTTAACCTATTTATTATTTTAAACTAATTTTAACTAAATTTTTGCCTCTAATGTAAGCTCTAGATCAATGTCTCTATTGAAAGAGTGAACAACTAAATGTGTGGAAAATGGAGTAGGAGAGCCTTCCTAGGATTTGTTTTTACTGTGGCAAAGACAAAAGGTGTGCCGATAAGAAAAAATTACCTACAAGTCCCACAGAAGGCAGTTTATTACTCTGAGGTCCCACGAAATGTCAAAATCACTGACAGGTCTCAAGGGACCTTAGAGTAATATTTTCGATTTGTAAAATGACATTACTGCCCCTCATATTCCATATTCACATTTGCTCTGTCATTGTGATTTACAACCTCAGCAGTGACTATTAACAACCCAATGAGAGGGCGTTATCAACCCTAGCAATATCCGTTAACAACTTACTTTATAGAATCATATAACCTTCACATAAGAGTAAATTATAACCAAATAGTATAATACAACAACTTTAACACTAAAATGGGAAGCTTTTTGATATCATTAAGAATTTTAACTACACCCAATAGGATTATAGTAATATTTTAATGCGAATATCCATTTACAACCTCGACAGTGACTATTAACAACCGAATAAGAGGGCATTAACAACCTAAGCAGTACTCGTTAACAACTTACTTTATAGAATCATATAACCTCTATATAAGCGTAAATTATAACCAAATAATATAATACAACAATTTTAACACTAAAATGGGAAGTTTTTTTATATCATTAAGAATTTTAACTAAACCCAATAGAATTATAGCAACATTTTAATGCGAAGATCCATTTACAACCTCAATAGTGAGTATTAATAACCCAAAAAGAGCCGTTGACAATTTAGGCAGTATCTGTTAACAACTGACTTTATAAGATAATATAACCTCTAACAACTATATAAGATTAACTTTAAGACTATTTAGTTATAATTTAGTTAGTTATAGTTAGAAGTTATATTATCCGATAAAGTTAGTTGTTAACAGATACTGCTAAGGTTGTTAACAGTTCTCCTTAGGTTATTAATACTTACTGTTGAGGTTGTAAATGGATTTTCGCATTAAAATGTTACTATAATCCTATTGGGTGTAGTTAAAATTCTTAATGATATCAAAAAGCTTCCTATTTTAGTGTTAAAGTTGTTGTATTATACTATTTGGTTATAATTTACTCTTATGTGGAGGTTATATGATTCTATAAAGTAAGCTGTTAACGGATACTGTTAGGGTTGTTAACGCCCTCTCATTGGGTTGTTAATAGTTGCTGCTGAGGTTGTAAATCGCAATGACAGAGCAAATGTGAATCTGGAATATGAGGGGCAGTAATGTCATTTTACAAATCGAAAATATTACTTTGAGGTCCCTTGGGACCTGTCAGTGATTTTGACATTTCGTGGGACCTCAGAGTAATAAATTGTCTTCTGTATGACCTGTACGTAATTTTCCCTTAAAAAAACTTGGGAAGTACTACCAAACAATTATCATCATAAAGAGGAGTGGACAGCCCTAGGATTCTCTCATTCAACATAAAAAGGGGGGAAAAACCATAGTGTCCCCTGTTGTCTGTAATTCAATTGATGCATGGGTTTACTCAATGGTAACCAACACAATGATATGAACTACCCCACGAATCTCTTGTCCCTTATGTGTTTTGTTGTTGGATTAAGCCAAGACCAAATTGTAAACACAAAATGTGTCATGGTTTCTCTTAAGTGTAATTCTAAGCCGTTCAAAAAATTTTAATATTGGTCCCTTTTGATAGAGCAGTGAAAATCCATTATAAGTACATTTTACATAAGTCGAGATAAAATTTATCTCATATATTTGTCTCGAATTCTTTAAATCACTATTGAAAAACAACTTATAAGCTACTTATGAGCTGTTCTAAACGAGCCTATTATATTCAGTCCTAAATAAATAAGAATTAGGTAACTAATTTATAAATATTGAAGAAATCAATTATGCTAATTATTTATGATAAATATTTGTTAAGTTTTATATCTTTAATTATTTGTCTTGGAAACTTTTCTCATTGATGATAACACTTTCAATGCATGTAATCAATATGATTATTTGAGAAAATAATTATAAATTTGTGAGAAGACAAAAGGGTTTATGACAGTTTCATGTTTAAGATTAAAGTATAAAAATTCTTTAACTAGCTCCTATATCTAGGATTAAAAGGAAAATTAATATTTTTACTTTCAAAGATGATCAAATCTAAATCATCAAGTTGGATATTAGCTTTGATCTTAAAGCTATTTAATTAATTTGAATTTATTAATAAAATTAAATAAATTAGTTAATTATAATAAATATAATATGATATCTCCAAAATACTCTTTTGTAATATTCAATTGTAGCATATCAATTTATAAGTTAGGTAAATTAGTTTGTGAAAAAATTATATATGTGTGTGTGATACAAAATGAATGGATATATTATATTTAGAATCAAATTCAACAAATACGAGTGTAACCCTTTACAATGATGTTGATCTCTCCATTAGAGTTGGAGAAGACCTTACAATTTTTAATATCAAACATAATTTTCCAGAACTAGAAGATCTGAATCCAAATGGATGACTACACGTTTGTGCACAAACAAAGGGAATATTGACACACAAATACACTCACACAGAGCACAGGTTTGATCCAATCACTTTTATTAATAAAATTAAATAAATTAGTTAATTATAATAAATATAATATGATATCTCCAAAATACTCTTTTGTAATATTCAATTGTAGCATATCAATTTATAAGTTAGGTAAATTAGTTTGTGAAAAAATTATATATGTGTGTGATACAAAATGAATGGATATATTATATTTGGAATCAAATTCAACAAATACAAGTGAGTGTAACCCTTTACAATGATGTTGATCTCTCCATTAGAGTTGGAGAAGACCTTAAAATTTTTAATATCAGACATAATTTTCTAGAACTAAAGATCTGAATCCAAATAGATAACTACACATGTTTGTGCCCAAACAAAGGGAATATTGACACACAAATACACTCACACAGAGCACAGGTTTGATCCAATCACCTCCATCCCAAGGGAGGAAGTTGGTGCCATTAGACCCAAGGGACTTTGGCAAACAAAATGCATTCTTTGTGTGTGAATATCTAACTACATCACTATATAGAGTTGCAGTGTTAGAGTATGAAGAGCAAGTAGCAAGAATCGCCACAAGTTTATTCAAAGCAATGGCGAAGAACTTAGATGATGTGAGCATATTGGAGAAGTCAAGCCAGTATCTTTCTCACAAGACAGCCAATATACGTGTCTATCGCTATCCACGTAGCCCTAATAATAATAATAATAACAACACCGTTGCTTCTTGGGGAATGGAACCTCACACAGATAGCTCTGTGCTCTCCATTCTCAGCCCCCATACTCAAGATTCTTCCCTTGAGATCCTCAACAGTTATCAATGGCTTCCTCTTCAATCCATTCCCAACACCCTCCTCGTCAACATTGGCGACATGATGCAGGTTCTTTCTTCTTCTTCTTCTTGATATACTTCTTTGATCTATTTACAGGGTTAATGTCCTTAAATATCTTGAAAATATTTATCAAAGAGCACTTAGTATCTGAAAGTGTTCTTTTTCCTCTCTAATATCCTCTGGAAGTTTTATTTCATAACATTTTTGCTATGAGTCATCATCTATAGTTAAGTTTAACCATTAAAGATATGGGTTAATTTAACTGTCAAATTTAATAACAAATAACTGCCAGGGCATATTTGCTGCAAAAATAAGCTTTCAGAACATATAAGAATAAAAAAAAAAAATACAGATACTGAGTGCTCCTTTATGGATACTTTCGAAGTACTTAAATACCTTAACTCCTATTTATAAGATATTGTCAACATGTTTAACTCGTACTTAGAAAAACCTTAAACCTCTTGAAATTTAATAATACCTTCGATCCTTAATATAAGAGCTAGTTTGGCTTTTAATTTAGTCTTAAATATAAAATCTCAATCCACTTTGTCTCTCACATTTATCTATTTTTCTAAAGATAATCCTTGTAATAGTTGCACATATTAAATGTTTCATTACATAGTAGTTTTAGCTAATACATATGATTAGCAAGGGTGTTTTAGAGAAGACAACACCTATTTGTTACAAATAACTAACTTGCCTAATTTTCTTAATCTACTCATATTAGTCAATTAGCTCTTGTATTAAAGACCGAATATAGTAACTTTCTAACACAAAGTAACAGGTTGATATATCTGTTTTTGCAACTGAGCGCAAGTGAAACAACTAGCTAGGGTTTATTATTGTTTTGATGTTGTATATGTGTGTGCAGGCCATAAGTGATGACAGATACAAGAGTGCGTTGCACAGGGTGAGGATAAGCCAAGAAAAGGAAAGGATTTCGGTGTGTTACTTTGTGTTTCCAGATGAAGAGTTTGTGATAGGCAGCTCCAAGTACAAGCCTTTTAGTTATAGTGATTTCAGAGCACAAGTTCAAGAGGACATCAAAGCCATTGGCTATAAAGTTGGACTCTCCAGGTTTACCCAAACTCATCATCACCACACTTAAAAGAGAGAACACAAACTTCAACCCTCTCTCTCAAATCATCAATTTTCAACTATCTTCATTGTTCTCTTTAATTAATTACATAAATTCTTTTTGCTTGAGATATGTAAAGCAAAATGAATACAGAACAAAGAGAGGAACTTGTGGGTTCTATTTGACGTGAGGCGACCATAACTATTCTCCTTCTCTTTTTCTCTTCACTTGATTATCTCATACTCTAACTAGTAACGTGGAGAGAGTTCATGCTCAAAATAAAGAGGTTTTGTTGGGTTATACCTTATCCCGCCTTAATAGATTAAGGCCCAAGCCCAATATAAGTGGGGTTCTAAGGAGAATAAGGAAAAGCATGGGGTCATCGAGAGAATTTTCTCATTATATAAGTGAAGGTGTAAGTTTGAGGCACATACCATAACTCCCTAAAAAACTTCTTGGTCCCTCTAAGAAAGGACTCTCTTTTTCTTTTTGGTGTATTTGTTGTGTTGCTTAATTAGAATCCATGACTTTAATATGGTTTTATGTTGACCCCTTAATTAGTTAGCCAAATTCGAAATATGCTCCAAAATCCTACAGATTTATAAGAAATTAGCAAGTCCTGTGAAATCCACACATGTATATTGTTGGTAAACCCTTAGATTTCTCTATTTCATCAATTGTGGAGTACATTAAATAATGTAAATTTCATGTTCTTTTGGTATGAAATGAGAAGACTTTATATTAAATAAGATTTGGGAAATAAGGTACGGGTGGATGCTTTTGTGTATATAGGGTATAAAAAAGGTATTTTATCAAGTAGGGGATCATCATTCAATTGGTTTGAGGAAAAGTTGGATTGATTAGCTTTTCAAAAAATCTGTTCTCCAAAATTACCTTCTTCTTTTTGTTTTTTAAAGTGTTGCTCCATATACACTGTATAACTATAATTTATTGTTGATATCAATGATGGATATTTATATTAATGAGAGAAATTGAGGTAGAATAAGGTTTAGGTAATAAAAATATTTAGAAGTGTGATGAGTAATTGTGATGAAGTACGTTGGATATCACAATCAAGCATGGCACATAATATAATGAGTGTTTAGAGATGAGTAGGATTAGGCTTGTTGAGTTCAAAGCTTCATCAACAGGATTTTGTATAATTTTGTATAATTTTTTGCCAAAATATAATTATTATATTGATTGAAACCAAAGAAAGGGGATTTATATATATCATCAAAATAACATTGAAATTCTTACAGAAAAATCTGAACATGCCCTTCTGTATAAGCACTGTCCTTCCCACAGGTTGCCTTAGTCGCTTCACCTGCTATATGCCTATAGCTCCTTTAAACTGAGATAACTGAATCATTACCTTTGCACAAAACCAAAACAAAACGGGTCATTTATTTGAGAAGTGCTTAATTTGACATAGTCAACTCAAATTTCAGTATATATAGTAAGTGTACAACTTCAGTGATTTATTATACTACCTCCGGTCCTAATTATAAGAGCCAGTTGACTAATTTGAGGAAATTAAGGAAATAAGTTGAATTAGTTATTTGTTCTAAATAAGTGTTGTTTTTTCCTAAAATATCCTTACTAATAAAGTGTATTGATTAAAACTATCATTGTTAGAAGGGTTACTTTAGAATAAAATGTATAAATATGAAAGACAAAGTAGATTGGGGTCTTATATTTAGAAGCAAAATAAAAGTCAAATAGGGTCTTATATTAAGGACCGGAGGTAGTATAATTTTAAGGATGGGAAATTGACAAATTGAGTATAATAAGTCAACAGGTTTAGCTATTTATTTCATGTCAAAGCTTTGTATTTTTATTTATTTAAAAATGTATGCACATCGACTTAAGATTACAAGCAGAATTGAACTTGCTCCTCCCACTTATTAAGAAGCTTACATGCTATCAAGTTACAAGATTATTAGCATTTCAAGTTACAACTTTAGTATAACAAATTATAGCAGCTTTTTTAGTTGATTTCAGGTTACAATTTAATTTAAGTATAACAAATTGACAATTAACCTTTGAGTTTACTAAACATTTCATTTGCAAATGATGATGAACCCCACTAACTAATAGCCATCAAGAATTGGCAAGTTTAATATAACAAATTGAAAAACATAGAATGCAAATTTGCTTCTACATTCATAGCGACCTTTTTGAAATTGACAACTACAATATTAACAGATATACTTTTGAAATTGGCAACTTTTTTTTTTTTGAATGGGTTAGAGACTAAGTTTGTTTTATATAATATGAGGATGCAAGTGTCCACAAGAAACCTATTTATGGTTAAGGCCCACGGCACTCCACAATAATTTGATAATTTTAAGGGATATTAGAGTATTTTAGGGTATTGTGTGAACCCTTAAAGTAGTTTTTCCAACCAAAAAAAAAAAAAGAAAAATCTTATTATCGAATGAAGCTTATTTATTTAAAAATTAATTAGTCCCACAAATCAGACAAATATATCATATTTTAAATGAAAGGCATTTTTATTAAAAGAAATTAACTTTATCACGCCTAATATTAAATTACACACACACACACACACACACAGACGCGCACACAATCGCGCGCAAAAGAAGCCTCTATGTGAGTTAGTTTTAACTGGACCTAAGATGTTATCATTCTATAGATCCATGTCTAATTCGGTAATTCCATTGGCTAGGACCGAATTCTCGCGACTCTTAACACAGATACATAATAAATCAGTTATATCAAAATATTTCATATCATCAAATATAAGTTACTATTATATTACTTCCGGTCTTTAATATAAGAACTAGTTGAATAATTTGAGTAGATTAATAAAATTAGTTAAGTTAATCATTTATAATAAATATATATTGTCTTCTGTAAAATATCTTTGTTAATAATGTGTATTAACCAAAACTGTCATTTGATGAAATGTATAATATGTGAAATTTCTACAAAAACTACCTTAAAAAAATAGATAAGTATGAAAGACAAGATGAATTATGATATTATATTTATGACTAAATTAAATGTTAAACTAGCTGTTATATTAAAAATAGGAGTTACTAGTTCTTTGATAAGAAGATTATACATGCCCTCGTGAGGGCATTAAATTATTGTATTAATTTGGGAACTAGAACAAGATTATATATGTTATAATGCAATACCTTAGGTGTCATCCCAAATATTACATGGGATAAGGCCTTGTTCTAATGGGCCGGGCTTATTATATACCATGTGCCCAATCAAGTCTTGTTTTGGGTACAAAGCCCAATCAAGTTTTAATACAAGGTTAATACTCTTTGTTAAATTCACCAATAGGGATTGAATCCAATGGAAGGGGGTTAGTCCCTCACCAATCAAAATTTGAATTCTACTTAGAAGAGGTGTTCACATTTAGTGTTCGATAGTACCTCAAATAAAATTGTCTCTAATAAAAAGATACATGTACTTAGAAAAAATTTTATATTCCAATTGATGCCATTAGTTTTAATCTTTACTTCTTCTATCACCCATTAGTCTCTCCCCCGATACAAAATGACTCCACTTGTGTTTAATATAAAAGTTAATATGGGGTTGGATTTGATTTTAAACGTAAGACTTCAATTTATTCTATCTCTAAAATTTATAATTTTTTTGTTTAAAATATTGATATTGATCGTAAATAGTTTTCACCAAGAATGTCAATTTACATGATTAAAGAGAATATGTTAGGAAAGGCAATATACACCAACTTAACTAATTTTCTCAATTTCCTTAAATTAGTTTTCTAGTTCTTATATTAAGAACCGGGAGTAGTGTTTTACTTTTATGAGAATGATATTTTTTTTTTAATTTTAATAGTGGTTATTAAAGTAAGATATCAAATAATTCCAAGTAAATAAAGGTACAAATGTTTAGAGCCGAAAAAGCATTTCCTTTTTGTCTGGCCTTTTGCTTTGTTCTTCTTAAGGAATGATATTTTTAATCTTCCACTTGTTCTTATAAAACTCATATTTTATTGTATTAATTACTTTTATTACTAAAGGAATTTATATATTTTTATTTTATGTAATTCGGTCCTATCCTTTGCATCAATGTAAGGCATAGATTCATGATTCATATATTAAGTCATACTAAGAATAACTATAATTAAAACAAAAGAAGAAACCTTGTTAATTACAAAGGAAGTAATGTAAAAAATAATAGAAAGGTGAGAATGATAAAGTTGAGGACTAGGAATGTAGAAAAAAAGCAAAGGAACGAATTTATAATAAATGTGTGAATGAATAAAAGAAAGGGACAAATGCTTCCTTTCCTTTACTGGGAAGGCGCAAATCAATCCTTTCATTTTCTTAAAAATTAAAAAGAATTACTCACTTCCCTCATTAACGTGAGAATTAAATAATTAAAAAAAATTGATTAAATTAATTAATTAAAAAAATCTATGTTATTTAAAGGACCAAAACTTTTTAGACATACCAAAATAGAACTAAATTTCAAGCATCAAAACTAAAAGTAAAATGAGATTAAGCTTTTGAGACTAAAAATGATACTACTTTCGATTCTTAATATAAAAACTATTTAAACAGATTAAGAAAAATAATTAAGTTAGTTGTTTGTAACAAGTCTGAATTGATTTTCTTAAAGTAACATTTTTAATCATGCTATCATAGGATGAAAATCCTTTAACATATATAATTAATAAAACTATTTTAAAATATTAATGATAAATTTTAAAAAAAAAAGTAGATCGAGATATGATACTCATCCGAACTTAAATATAAAACCTCTTTTATAGTATAATTTATATTAAAAAAATTATATTTAGGATCGGGAAAATACTTATCATACTCCTTATATTAACAACAAGAGCTACTATTAATATTTTAATTTAAATTCATTTTACAGTTAGCCTCCACTTGAAAATATCTGTCATCATCTGCTGAACATGAAAAGCGAGCGCCTTTTTTGACAAAAAAGGAGAAACTCGCGGTGTTGAGAGCAGCACTCATACCAGAGGCAGGACAGAGCCCAAACATCAAGTAAGAGAGCCGTCTGCTCCAAAGTTGGACTTGTGTCTTCCCCAAAACCAGAGACCACCTTCTTCATATCCTCACACACCCAGATCCTCTGCTATTCATACACATTCTTCTTTCTAGATTCCCCATATTTCAAATCATTCCTATTTCCCTCTCTGCCTTTTCTCTCATACATTCTGCAATGACCATTCTACTTCTTCCCTCTCAATCTTCCTCTTCTTTGTCTTCTTTCATTTTAGCCTCATTTTCCCCTGTTCTTTTCCTGGTCTTTCTTCAATGCCGCCTGGCCTCTTCTGCTATTCTGCTGAGCTTGAGGAACCAGCACAAGCACTTTCACCATCAGAGACCGATGATCCAAGCCAACCAAAGCACTTGCTCTCTCTTCGTCGGTAGTTGGGTTCGTGATGATTCTTACCCGCTTTATCAATCTTCTAGCTGTCCCATTATAGACCCAGAGTTCAACTGCCAAATGTACGGTCGCCCAGATTCGGATTACCTCAAATACCGATGGCGGCCCCTCAATTGTGAGCTCCCAAGGTAAAATAGCAGTAGAACCCGGAGTAGTTGAGTTCAATCACGCGGCGTTTTGTGCGAAAAGTTTGTTTAGCAACTATGTTATATGTATAGCCTGAAAAATATTGTAGCATTTTCATGGTAGGTTCAATGGGGTTGATTTTCTGCTCAACATGAAGGGGAAAACTGTGATGTTTGTGGGCGATTCTCTAGGGCGCAATCAGTGGCAGTCTTTGATTTGCATGATATATTCTTCAGCACCTGGAACGCAAACGCAATTGGTGAGAGGAGAACCCCTCTCAACCTTCAGATTCTTGGTGAGTCTAATTTCTGAGCAACAATTACAGAAATTAAATTCATTCCTCGTCCAATTTAGGGCATACTTTCAATGACCATTCCTTTTTAGGGCTAAATGTTTGTTTAAATGACGGGGTAGGGTAAGAATTTTTGCAGATTTTACGGCAGGAAAATTATTATTCTCCACTTTTTGTGAAGCTTTATTCAGAACATGAGGGCTTGGGTGAAGTTATTTTCAATAGGACAAAGTATATGTTGGAAAAGGTGTCTGTGAAGAGGGACCATAAGCACTTTGGACAATTGGGCTAGTTGGTGCAAACTGCAGTACACTAACCTCATGCCTTTGTCTGTACAAATGAAAAAAGCATTTTACAGCTGCAAAAGAGGCATGATTTGTAATTGGGTTTTGATATGGTATATGCAGGACTATGGCGTGACCATTTCATTTTACAGAGCCCCTTATTTGGTTGAAGTTGATGTGGCCCAAGGGAAGAGAATTCTGAGATTGGAGGAGGTAGCTGGCAATGGAGACGCTTGGAGTAGCGCTGACGTGCTATCTTTCAACTCAGGACACTGGTGGAGCCATGAAGGATCATTGCAAGGGTATGCTATCTCCTCCTTTTGAAAGTTTCTTTTTTCCTTTTTTGGTTAAAAGAAAGAAAGAAGGAAAACGATACTTAAGTAATGTTTTATTGACAAAAGTCATTTATTTGTTATTTTTTTGATAGAAGAACTTGACATTAATACAATTTGAACGTTATGCAGTGATGCAGTCTCAAAATCCTGAAAGAAAGAAAGAAATATGGATTTGTGATTGATTTCTCAATGACTTATTTTTTCCAATTTTTAGATTATATATGGTTTTTGGATTGGCGAGTGCAGGTGGGATTACATTGAATTAGGAGGAAAATACTACCCAGACATGGATCGTGTGGCAGCAATGGAGAGGGGTCTCAAAACATGGGCAAATTGGGTGGATTCCAATATCGACCGAAGCAGAACCAGGTTATACTTTCTGGCAATTTCCCCCACACACTACAAGTAGGGACTCTCTCTTTCTCATTATAAATTGCTTTTTCTCTTTCTTAAATTATTATTTTGGTACAGGGTGTGGGATTTCTAGGGTTTCATAATGGCGTGTTTGGTTGGAGTACGGTTCTCCCATGCTAGAAATCTATGAGCTGTGTGTAGGAAGTATTGAAACTAGGAACCCTATCTTTGACCCGTTAGCTGCATCTATCTGGCTTGGTGCCTTAGGGGTATAAAATTCCCAAAAATAAAAGAACAAACAGAGCAAAAAGCTTATTAAACGTTTAATGATATATGATTTAAAAAAACTTCACTATGTTAATGATTTTGTCCAACTGCAGTCTGTCTGCTATCTTGTGGTTTAAAGTCCTTGGGCCTGGGTTGTCTCCTTCCTATCATAAACTGTAGGCTAGTGACTGTATTATATGTGAGGCGAGATCTTAAGCACGCCTGGATTTGAAGCACTGTATTGCACAAGATTTGGATTTGGATGGTTAAAAATTTTTTTTTTCCAAAAACATTTTACTGTTTTTAAAATTAGAAAATTATTTTTTATTTTAAATCCTGTATCTATTAAAATGAAAAAAATAAAAAATCTTAGGAATAAAATAAGATTAAATTTGGAATGTTGTATTTTAATATGGTCGGTTCTGATGATTGTCAGCATCACATGCTTTCAGTACAAGCCTAAATCCTTTTTGGATCTTAAACGGGAACTTGTGAAAATATTTGTTCAAGCTAGAACTTGTATTTTACTACCATCGGTCATAAATATAAGAGTAGTTGACTAATTTGAATAAATTTAAAAAATAAGTTAAATTAATTATTTATAATAAATAGGTACTCCTCCGGTCCTAATTATAAGACCCAATTGACTTATTTGAGGAGATTAAGGAAGTAAGTTAAGTTGGTTATTTATAATAAATAAGTGTTGTCATTCCTAAAATATCCTTACTAATTAAGTATATTGGCTAAAACTATCATTATTAGAAGGATTATCTTGGGAAAAAATGCATAAATATAAGAGACAAAATGAATTGGGTCTTATAATTAGGACCAAATAAAAAGTCAAATGGGGTCTTATAATAAGGACCGGAGGAGTATTATTTTTTTCAAAATATTTTTGCTAATCAAGGTTATTAGTTAAAACTATCATTGTTAGAAAGACTATTTTGAAAAAAAATAAATAAATATGAGAGAGAATAAATATAAGCCTTGTATTTAGAACCGAAATAAAAAGATAAACGTAATCTCATATTAAAAACAAGTATCTATAAACATAGAAATGAATGTCCTTTGTCGTCGTTTTCAAAACCATCCATGCTGTGTCAGTATCTCACATGGGGTTGTAATGGGCTCCTCTTGTTGCTTTTCGTCTCTTCGTCTATTCACATTTCACATGGACAAAGTTGATCTCTTGAGCTTTTCTTTATAGTTTCTTTTCTTTTCTTTGTTTTTTTTTCTTTATACTGTGATTTCTTGAGCTGGAGATTGGAGAATCATTTTAAAACATGCACTGAAAAAAAAAAATTTTGAGAAAAAGAGAAAAAAAATAATAATAATAATTGTGTCGGTGGAAGTGGAATAAAACATACCTATGTGAATACTGCCACATCCTGCTGCCAACCATTTGGTACAAAATGCTGATACATATTTAAATCTGAGTGCTGTAGCTGTACATTCACATTACATCGTATAATGCACGGGCTAATAAATAGTCACTTCAAAAGCTATTTGGTAAATGTGCATTGGCTTAATTTGACTTGGGACTGTCTGGCCCAGCTAACATTCAGCATCTCATTAAAGGGTGTTTGGATGAAACCAAATCATAGTTTAGAGAATAGTTTCTGGAGAATAGATTTTTGAAAGAATAGATTTTATGAAAAATAGATTTTGTGAAAAAGTGATTCTGATAAAGTGAGAGTGTTTAGATAATTGTTATCATAAACGCTTTTTATATGTACAAATTACTAAAAAGAGCATAAGTTAATATGATAATTACATAAAATATAGATTTTATAATATATTTTAATTTAAAAGACTAAAATTGTTAATAATATATTTTTTTACTAACATAATTAAGAACATATAAGAAAATATAATTAATAAATGATTAATATGTGTATATATATTTATAAAATATGAGATTAAAAATGTTTTTGTAAAAATGAATATTTTTTACCAATAGAAAAATATTATTTTATTTTAAAGATTATACATAAAAATACCATGATATTTTTTGACAAAATTAAATAAGCACACATAAAACAATTTATTATTTATTATAGTAATTAATAATAAACACACAACACATATATATGATTCTCTCACGCTCTCTCTTGTACTGCGTTTGAAACAATGAAAAAAATTAAGGAGGGGTATATCCATCTGGGCCCAAAAAAAAAAAAAACAACAAGACATATCCCATAGGCCCTTACACTCTTCCCTTTTCCTCCTAAAAGCAGAAAATTTTTGCTTCTATTAAAATCATGGTTTCTAGGCCAAAACCATGGTTTTGTTTTTTGTTTTTTAGTATTTGGATAATTTTTTCCCCAAACCATGGTTTGGGTTATCACCCAAACACCCCTTAAGTCTTATATTGGGTGCGTGGATTCCTTTCCTTAGATAAAGGATGACCCAAAAAAGTGTGGATCTTTTGTGCTGTAAGAAGTGAGAGGAATGAGCTGCTTTATTCACAGTTTATGAGTAATGCAATTTGTTATTATTACATAAAGAATATACATACATAGATTACAATAGAAATCATGCTGAAACTGGTGTGCAGCCCCAATGAATGGAATACTGGAGGAGGAACAACATCAAGGAACTGCTATGGTGAAACTGAGCCGAGCACGGGCACAGCGTACTTCGATGACTACACGGAGCAGAGGAGGGTGGTGGACATGGTGATGGGAGAAATGAGAAACCCACCATATTTGCTGGACATCACAATGTTATCAGGACTGAGGAAGGACGGGCATCCTTCCATCTACAGTGGTGACTTGAGCCCTCAACAGAGAGCCAACCCTCAGTCTGCTGATTGCAGCCATTGGTGCCTCCCTGGCTTGCCTGATACTTGGAATCAACTACTTTATACCACATTATTCAACTAACCACTCTCTTAAATCTCCCTGTATTTTCCGCTCAGTTATATACTAAACATTGTTTTGTAGGATTAGACAGATACATTTATGTGAAGGGCTGCTTAATCTTGCGACTCCTTCACCTGTAAATTAATGCTAGTGAAAAGAAGGTAGATCAAACCAGTCATTAACAGTTTCTGCTGTAGGTCTTGGATTTTGATTCTTTTAGGTGAATTGTTGGAGTTGAATGTTCATTGAAAATGGTGTACTGGCAAGTTGTAATTGATTTTGATGAATCTACTCGGACACATGCGACCAAGTTATATGGCTTCTTATAATCAATCAATCATTTTCAATTTGATTCCAGTATCTTTGTCCATGATATAAGTTTGAACATCCGGGTCATAATTTTTAGTTATAAATCAGTAATTTAAAAGTGTTAACTAATTAGCTAGAGTGATCTGTTGCGCCTTTTACAATGGTTTTAAATCTTGATAAGAAGTGTAGAAGCTGCAGTCAAACTGCCGACCATGGTTGCATCTAAGTGAAAAACTCATTATCTTCTAGTAAGATTATGCGCTCAAATCTTGTGAATGGGAAAATTATATTTAGAGTGTTATTTTTATTTTTTTTATTTGCGTTTGATGTGTGTGTGTGTGTTTACAAAAAGAAATCACAATTACATAAAATTTTCATGAAAAATGTTAAATGTATTGCTTAGTAAGAGAATCACGCATTATTAGGTGAAATTCAAATATCATCAAGTCTAATTAAACAGAACCTCCTCAACGTGATTTTTATTAATTATTAAGGCATTTTATATTTTATTATGACTCTATCAGGCAATATTTTTTTTAGTTTTACAATGTGGACTGGTTATGTCGAGTAAAAATATTCGATTTTCTTTATGCAAGATTGAGAAAATGCATCAAAAGAGTTATTTTTTTTTCCTGTGGTTTGATTTTAATTTCAGCCGGTATCGAACCTAAATTCATTTATTTGAAAGCTGATTACATTAATTGCTAGTGTTCGACCCAAAATATACTATAAGATGTAGACATTGATGTCCCTGGAAGCTCTGGATAAGTGTGGATTCCATATAGAGAGAGAAAACTTGAATGAGGAAAGCTATGACTACCTTTCTGCTTGTCAAAACAACGAAAAGGTTTTTGTTATTATCATCTTGCTCTGCATTAATTAAAATACATAAAATGCACTCTCCTTGAGTGCTTTCATCTTGGGCTGAGGCTGGAGCAACCAGAGCTTAACTTGCACACAATGAATTGACAAGTGAACCATAACTTTGAAACCCAATACATCACCAAACTCAACATTCTGTTTACCCCCGTACCTAGTGGAAAAGCCTTATATATAGAATGGCCTTTGATACATGAATTTTACAGTAGGCAAGTTCTGTGTAACAAGAGTTCATCTTCATTCTACCACAGAATTATTCCCTTGCATGGTCACACACACACACACACACACACACACACACACACATATATATATTAGCTCTGGATGGCAACTCCAAAAGGAATTTCCATCTTGGGTACGATCTTTTCTGGTTCTACACTTTTGTTTTGGTTGTCATAAGCAGAAACATGCACTCCAAGCGCTGCTCTACCAGAAGGATCCAGATTGTTCGACCAGGCCGCATCCCACTCGACTGCTTTTGCTGTGCTGCAAGCAACACTTGCGCCTCCGGGAACAGTGAGCCTTGCAGAGTTCTGCAATGCCAAGAGGCCAATTATGAATAGAACAGTCTCAAAAAATGGAGAACTTCTGCAGCATCTCTAATTGGCTAACACAAGAATGTCTTTACTTTCATCCTAAGTTATGGCTTCATTTCAGATTATGGTTATGGTTTCTGTAAATAAACAGATTTGATTGATGAAGTTACCTGTGGGAAGAACCTCTCAAAGATCATTCTATAATAATATGCCTCTTTGGTGGTTGGAGTATTGTGGGGGAAAATGTTAGCAGCATTGAGCATCATTTTGTCACTCACCTGTTATGACAAGTTTGAAAGACCAGTTATAAGATACAGCACTTGAATGGCTTCAAGGATCAGACACAAGGTAAAAATAGAGATTTGTATTTACATGTTTAGCAGCATGGGCTTTAAGCCCATCAATCCAACTATAGCCAACCCCATCACTGAATTGTTCTTTCTGTCTGTATAAAATGTGCTGCAAGAATTTGAAGACATTAGATCTTAGTTCGAAAGATTAATTTTATACTTATCTACAAGCATTGCAGGTCATTGCAGTACACCTTTGGAAGATAAGGATGCTCTTCATCATCAAAGGCTCTCCTTAGAACCCACTTCTCGATCCGGCCTTCATCTCGTTTTATCTGCACAGATTAATCGGCAAACCCACTCAGTAAAAGTCTGTAACTTTCAGAGTAATGATCCATCTATCATGGCAAGTCCATACCATTTTAAACTCAGGATCAATGTTCATTGCAACATTGATGAACTCCTTGTCAAGAAATGGGACTCGAGCTTCCAGACCCCAAGCAGATGTTGCTTTATTGGCTCTCAAGCAATCATACTGATGAAGTGCCTTAATCTGCATAGAATTAGAAAAGGAAAGCAATCATTGTAACCTTTACGTCCATGCCCTCAAGTCGTTTAAGCAATAAACACAATAAGTATGTATGCGTGCATAAAATATGACCTTGCGGCAAGTTTCTTCATGGAACTCCTTCTTGTTAGGGGCCTTGTGGAAGTACAGATAGCCACCAAAAATCTCATCAGAGCCTTCTCCAGAGATAACCATTTTTACTCCAAGAGATTTAATCTTGCGTGACATAAGGAACATGGGGGTACTAGCTCTTATTGTAGTCACATCATATGTTTCTATATGATAGATTACATCCTCAATGGCATCTATGCCATCCTGCATACACGGTGCATGAATATGTTTTTAAGGAAACTTACTTGTAAACTAAAGGCCCCAAAATGTTTAGCTGGAAAGTAACATCTCCAAGTGAATACCTGCACAGTGAAGTGAAACTCATGGTGAACAGTCCCTATGTAGTCGGCAACTTCTTTTGCAGCCTTCAGATCTGGTGAGCCCTGCTCATAATAAAAGAATACATTAGGCCAAACCATTTTTAAAGAACTCTGATTTTTAATTTTAAATGGACCCAAGAACATCTATATAGCCCACCTCAAGGCCTACACAGAAGGAGTGTAGTTTTGCTCCCCACTGTTTGGCAGCTTTTGTATCCGCAAGGTAGCGAGCAGTGATGGATGCAACCAAGGATGAGTCCAAACCTCCGGACAGTAAAACACCAAAAGGCACATCTGTCATCAGCCTTTTTATGACTGCCTGTAGTCACAATCATTACATAATTGGGAACACCACATTAGCTATGCTTATCAGAATCAAGTTCAAGCGAACAAATAAAAAGTTCTATACTGGATTGATGTAGCCTAGCTAGAAAAGATGTCTATGGGTAAAAACGAGCTAAAGATTTAATGCCTCGAAGTTTTGGATCATTAAGTGAACCAAATTCATTTGTATATTTTCAGACTGTATGAAACTCTTTTGAATCTCACCTTCTCAAAAGCATGCCTCAAAGCTAAGGGATCATAAGGGGTTGTTGGAACAATCTCAGAGAACCATGGAGGATTGTACCACCTACGGAAGCCTCCTTCTTTGCTTGAGTACAAGTGGCCAGGAGGGAACCACTCAAAATGTTCACAGTCATCATTGAGTCCTTTTAGCTCAGATGAAATCCAAATGGAGCCTGCTCAAGCAGAAAGGTATCAGAATATATATATACATACATATATACACATACACACACCCCATACTCAATTCAAACTTGGAAGTGGAAAATTGAAAGATAAACTCTAGGCACATCAAAACATTACCATCAAGTCCCCAGCCAATGTAAAGGGAAGTGACACCAATAGCATCTCTTGCAACTATGAAGCTGTTGTCTCGGGTGTCCAGAAGAACAAATGAAAAGATGCCATCCAGCATGTCCACAAAATTCTCTCCATATTCCTCATACTATTAAAGTAACATCAAATACAAGAATTTAGTCACAAGTTCAGAACTACCACTAATATCATGATTTACAGCCACTTTCAATCTTAAGAGAACTTAAAAGGGAAAAGATATAGTTATTCTGTATGTGTGATTAAGATGGCTAACCAAGTGTGCGATAACATCACAGTCACTGCCTGTCCTGAACTTGTGATGGGACAGTTGTTTCCTCAGCTCTTCATGGTTGTATATCTCTCCATTCACCTGTTTTTCAGCAAATCATCCTTTTCTATCAGTCATAATTTCCCAAGGTTCAGTTCCAAATCACTCTAAGCCAGGCAAATGTTCATTGTACTTCCTTAATACCTTACAAAAATAAAGCACTATAAAGCAGCTGTTGTCTAATTCAATGACAACTTAAAAATTATGGCCTTGACCAAAAACTATGTAATAATACACAATCTGGGTCCTCAATAGTTGTGAAAATATTGTAATACTATATGAAAAGAAATATTTAAAAAAGAATAACCAAAAGCAACATTTACCAGTTATGTATTATATTATTGTTTTCATGTTATTTTCTCTCCATTAACATCACATAACTATAGAGAATCTACATGTTAAGGAAGAGGATATGAATGAATTATGGTGTGGCCTTGAGTACTAAAAGGGAACGTTGCCAAATACATCAGGCTAGTAAAAAGTGGATAAACTCAACTTTTTTCTGTTTAATATACTATAATGGTGTAAGAGAGTAATCACAGGCTCATGATATTTATTAAAAAAAATAGCCATCAATGTTTAAGGTGCGGCCTACCGTGACAACAACAGATTTGTCTTCGTTAAAGAGAGGTTGATCACCAGAAGCAGGATCAACTATTGCCAGCCGTTGATGAGCCAAGAAACAATCACCATGCTGATGGAGACCACTCCAATCAGGACCACGATGCCTCAATCTGTGACACCAAAACAAGTAACAATAATTCAAAATGAACAGAAGCGTTCATATTATATACCTCTATGCACTTTCAAGTTTCAAAGTCACTAAAAAATTCCAATAATTGTGTTGGAACCTGGTCCCACACATCCCACTTAATTGTGTTCACAGTGACCAGATTAGAATATATTTCCCAGTTGCCCACTTGTATTAGTGAAGTGCTGGGTGATTATCGTCCTCTAATGATGCTAGTTCAATCCTGAAGATGGTCAGTGGGTCCCAAAAGAAAGAAGTAATTGTAATTGAAGTCATCATAATTTAACTTATTCTCCCCTTCATATATTTGACGGTCTAGAAACATGACTGTAGAAACGCGAAA